TACTACTAGTACTACTAGTACTACTACTACTAGTACTAGTACTACTAGTACTACTACTACTAGTACTACTACTAGTACTACTACTAGTACTACTAGTACTACTACTACTATAGTACTACTACTAGTAGTAATATACATCTGAAAATTGACACTGAAGCAACCTCCGAGGTACCTTGCAAACGGCAAGACTCACTATCTTGGTAAATACTGCGTCAAAACGAGAGCTTCAAACAAACGTGCCGTTCTCATCATCTTGGTCATCACGGAGTTTTCAATCATCGCAATGGAACCAAGAATACATCGCAAAAGGCGACACACGGTTTCACCTAGTGTTCTACAATTGTCGCTCTTGATCAATGCGATTTTGATCTTCGCTGTTTGTTACCTTTCTTTAGTTGGCAACCTTAAAAAAGCGGGAAACATCGAAGGAGCGAAACATATTATCGAGACGAAGACTCATTGGCATGGTGGTCATCCAGCAGAAGACAGGAGCGGTTCATGTTGGTGCGGCACAGAGGACAAGTATTGTTTGTGCACTCCAAACCTTGCCATAGACTTGATTATTACATCAAGCACGGAAAGTAGCCCGGAAAGTACCGGTATAGACTATGTCTGGCTAGTCCGAAGGAAGGACACCAATCAACTCGCAACGATGGGTGGATTTGTGGAGGTCAACGAAACCGCAGAAGATGCCGTGAAACGAGAACTTGCCGAAGAAATGTCAATAACTCTGACACGATCACCAACACTTGTTGGCATTTACTCTGACCCGCGCAGGGACAACCGACGTCGGACAGCCTCAGTGGCGTATGCAGTCCACGTTGCGGCGGATATAAGGCCGCATGCCGGTGACGATGCGAAAGAAGTTGTTAAAATTCCAATCAATGAAATTGTGGATTACGAGTACTTCACGGATCATCGGACTATACTGCTCGACTATCGCTCTTCTTTACGAGGAGAAGTCGTCGAGGATCATTCTACGGAAGGTGATTTCGCCGCCGATATCCAGCGATCCACGTGTTGAACGGAAGCTATCCCAACATGAAACACCAATAATCGACAACACCAATGTATCAATTGTTCTTTGTATGAAGGTACGAGTCACTGACTGTATTGTGCGCGAGAACAAAGCCGTCTTGTTGCGAAATATGTCCCACGTGCGCCAAAAGGAAGGTAATGCCACAATTGGTAGGGTGGAACTGACTTCATGGACATTTACTCTCTTTAATAGCTTTTCTTTTTTGAGACAAGGTACGAAAACATTGAATACCACCAAGATAGTTTTGGCAAAGCGAAAACGGAAGTCAAGTAGATAGCAACGGAGTCCTGCCCTTCCGCTTATGATTTGCACTGCTTTTAGTGAAGCAACTCAAAAGAAAAAAGTGTTCCTCGCAACGAGACAAGATTCTAGTAGTAGTAGCAAAGTTTGTGGTCCCGAAAGTGTGGCCCTTATCTCCCCCAGGAGTGACTTTTAGTATGAATGAATTATTTGGAAAAATCCTGCCTCGATTTTCACTAGATTACGTTCTGTATTCACTTTCCACTTTTTAACCAAGCATCTAGAGATCCTTGTTGGTATAGGAAAAAGTGCGTAAATCTGTCCACTTTTAAAAAGTGTTCAATGTCGTAGCTTCCTCAAACGATTCGAGCAAACGCTTCCCTGTTCTTGATGTCTCAGGATCGGACTGAACTACATAGAAGCTGTCTTGCTCTTCGTCACATTGTTGAGCTATTGAGTCGAGATAGACTCGTCTCGGAACAACGGTCCGATATCGTTTTCGTCCGGTCAAATGAGTTTGCGCTGCGTCCTCTATCACCGATAATGACGACGACAACGAGCTTATGTTATTACTTGTACTGTTGCTGCTATTGACTTTTGATGTGTCATGGATCTTTGATTGCGATTTTTCCTTCTTGCTGCCATCTCGACGAGAGCTTGGGGGGGTGCTCAAGGCCCGAGAAATTGGACTCAGCGTGTCAGCCCGGCCGATTTCTAGAGCTCGAAGAAAATCCACTGGGAGTGATTCCATCGCTCCTATCGACTTTTCTACATCGCTGACCACCTGTTTTGCCATCGTCCTCGCTTCTGCTATAAAACTCGAGACCGTGCTTTGAATGGAAGACGAGGAATTAGCACTTCTATCTGGAGAAGGTTTCTCCTTCGTTCGAATGCCACTTTTTTGATCATTAGAAGGACTGAAAGGAATTTCTGGAGATGTATAGCCGTTATTATCGAAAGGCAATTGCGACGGGCCCATTCCTCCGATGGACGAAAAGGATGAGTCATTCAGAATCATTGATGGAGAATCTGCTCCGAAGTGTGCACTCAATGGGCCGTTGAAGTTATCGTTGCTCTTGTTTCCCTTTTTGCCATGGCTATGATAATTCTGAAACGATGTATTTGGGGTACAATTTGCGTTCGAAACTGAGTGGGCACTTATTCGTGAAACATCCCCTATATTGAATGAGGACACCCAAGGATCCTGGACAAATGCTCCTTCCTGTGAACTATGAGTAAAGCGACAGGAACCAACCCGACTAGTTTCAATTTCGTCATGATAAGGAAGGCCATCGGCTTCGGCACCATCAAATAAAAAGTTTTGGTGATTTCCAAAAAGATCGTCTTCCACGCCATTGCCGTCACGCGTCACAATCATTGCCGTTCGAAAGTTTTTGTTTCTTTCTGGTGTTACCAGCAAATTAATTCTGCTGCTATTGAAGTAGTCGTAGCTTACATCTGTTAATACCTCGATTGATGATTCTTCGTATCCAGATCTATCTGTACTCGCATTTACAACATCGAACTTCGAATTTATTGTCCCAAAGTTTGGCGTTGGTGGGATCCCTCCAGAATCGGAACCTTCACTACTGTAATTCACTTGTGATAGGTCAAAGAGTCTTTCCCATTGATGGTCAAGAAATACATTGGTTCCAGCATTACTCGATATCTCGTAACTGTTATTTTTCTGATTCTCACTTTCATCGCTCTCCTGTTTTTCAGCTACTTCACCGTCAATCCCATACTTTGCCACGTGTCTAGCGTGCTCATTCAGTGCCGCTCTTGCTCCGATGGACATGTTGAGTACAGACGTCTCACCTACGTCGGATAAGTGGTAGCATTCATCTTCATCGTCGTATGCGTCGTGTCTACTATGTGAATGGAAACTATCATGTCCTACGCGAAGACGTCCAGGTGACGGTGATTCCGATGTCGATTTGAAGAAATTATCGAGGTCAGGAAAGTTGTTCCTCCTTCCATCGGAGAAAGGGTTTCTCCTTCGTATTCTTATTCTTTTTGAAGTAGACTTGGGAGGCGCTCGATCATTTATATTCGAGTTCGTGACACCCCGATCTGCTGGTTTTGGAATTGAGATCAGAGGAAATTTCCTCCCATCGGAGAAGCACGGCGGAGCATCCTTAGACATCGGATTTTGTTCCTGCTGTATTTGATCAATTTAATACCGTTTGCACTCTATCGCAGTAAGAAATTTTCACACATTAGTTTGATTCCGCCATTCCACAAGTATACGGTAGTATCGTAGAAGTATTTGTGTTATGACATGGACTCTTTCCGGCGCGAACGATCTCCTCGGCATCTCTCAAGTTGGACAAGAATGTATTGTACTTAATTTTCTATCATTAATACCAGTAGGTGTTACCCTGACACCTGTTTACTACCCGTACGTACGAACGGGTACGAATTCTCGTTCATGGCAGAAGCTCGTTTAGTACAGTAGTTACCAGGTACGAACTGTAGCAAGCAGTTTTTTGGGCTAGAAAAATCCGATTTGAAATCGTACCAAACGGGAATGTTCAAAAAGTACTTAGGGATCGAATGGTCGCGCAAGAATAGTTGTTTGAAGCAGTTGTGGCGATACCAATAGAATCAAACCTACTTCCTTGGTTTCTAATTGATCAAAAATTTGTGCCTTCAAAATTGAGTCTGCTTCTCTACTCGTACAAGTACGGGTACGTACCACCGTACGGTACTCGTACTCGGTACACATGGGCATCGCTGTTTGTAACTCATCAGTCATCCCTCATCATACGCTTACAACTACGTATTCGTATTACATATTTAGCATACTATCATAGCTGATGATAATACCTTTATTTCGAGTTCGGCCAAAGGATTTTCTGGACAAACCGATTATGTACAAGGTACCTATGCACGCACGTACGGTATCAGTTCGTACGTTACGTACTGTATTGTGTGGTAAGATGGGTCTGAAAGGGGTTTTTAGCTGAACATTCTCTCTCGGTGATGCATCACTCACCATGTTCAAATTCAAATTGTGTTGACGTCGATCGATGTGTGGGACTACGTCAAAGAGCCTTGGTTGATGACCATCTCAAACTTTCTGAAGCAGAAAGAAAAATATAACGACAGAAGCTTTCTCAAATTCAAGAAGGCGTTTCTCGGAGAAAAAAGTTTGAACAAAAAGATTCAAGGAGAACCAATCTAGAAAATGAGCCTTGTACTTCATTTCGAACGATGTCTCGCTAAAAGTAGGCGCACCATTCTTGATGGTGCAATACGGAGGAAGCCGTGCATTCAATTTATCAAGTGCAATGCATCAAATTCGAGCGATTCATTTCGGGGCACACCTCGATTAGCAACAAATCCAATCACCGAAATTGTATCTACAACAAGGATGTGCCAGAAAAGTCGCGGTTTCCATTATTCTGCAGCTAACATGCTAGCGGTGAGACGAAGACGCAGAGGATCTTCCAGAAAGGTAGAGTCGTCAGCTGACGAAAGTTCTGAAGAAGGTGATGCAGGAAGTACATTACAACTTATGCATGCGCCTGTCACGGATCCTGTGGAATTTAGTGAAGCTGCATCTCGTTTATTATGCAAAATAGAACGATCCGTGGAACCTATGAAAACGCGTAACGAGACGTTCATTACGAAACGAAGTGATGGAGAGATCGGTGAAATGTTTACGATCGATCTTGGTCCTCAATTAGGAATATTTCAAATCGAAACGAGCACAGACGAACAGGTTTTTGAATACAGCAGCCCGATCAGCGGCAAACTCCTCTACTGCTTGAGTTCAGCCACTGGAGAGTGGATCAATATGGAAGATGGGCATCAGTTCGAAGGTATACTTGTTCGAGACCTCCTGCGGAGCAACTGCATTGGGTTGCCAGACTTATGATTCACAATGGGTATCAATAGTTAGATATGTTCTCAGAATTTCACAACGATGCTAATACGAAGCAATTACTCGACACAGTTGAGGAGCAGTTTGAGACTGCGCTTTTTCTAGATCTAGTTCTCTGCGAAGCAACTGGTTCTTGTTATCCAACTTTCTGACCAAACTGCATTATTTGGTAGATGTTTTCGCGCAAGAACAACTTAATCTTAATCAATACGCATGATCTATCCCTGGAAATTCGTAAGGAGGCCGATATGAAGCAAGTTTCCAACGCAGTTCTCCACCTTCCGGACCTCCACGAAGCCACCCTTCGAGCGTAGCTACACTCACGATTGTTGTCGACGTATAATCTTCGTTCTCAGATTGATCTGAAGCTTTCGATTCGGAGGATATATCATCCTTTCGTTTATCTCCTGATTTTCCTATAGCAAATTCCTGAGTAACATCGTATAACACTTCCACTTGAGCACCAACTGCAGTTCCCGCCTCAACATATTCATCACCAAAATTGTAGTCAATTATTTCGTATTCCTTGGGTTTGTTGTCATTGTCCTCGTCGCTTGAGCCAGGAATTTCTTTTTCTTTAAATAGACACGCTCTGGCACTCAGCAAAGCAACATTATCTACCTGGCAGCTTCCTTCTCGAAATAGAACATTTCTCGATTGATTTTGAAGCAAAAAGGCAGTTTTCGAACTCAGCTGGTTGATTTGAAAAAGTTCCTTGGTGACCATTCTAGACAACTGACCGGCAAGCGAATCGGGGCGATCTCGAGCTTCGTTCATCCATTCATAATCCAGGATTGCTTCGGCGTTTTTTCTTTGTTGCTTCGACTGAGAGTCGTCACTTTCTGTCGTGATTTGAAGAGCTGAAAGCAAGTAATCCTTTTCTTCTTTGGTGACGGCTCCTACCTCGGTCGAGATATTTTCAGAAGTTTCGCCCTTTTCCTTCGCGTTTTCTTCTTCGCCATCCGTCTTTTTTTCTTGTGACTTTCGGCTTACAGCGTGTAGTTCATTTTCTAGAGCTGCGCTCACATTGTGGAAGTTTTCAAGAGCCGGTGAAACTCCCTCCAAAAATTGGTTCGCATCAAAATTGTTCTTCGCGAAGAGAGGATTTTGCAGTTCGTGAAAGAGAGAAAGCATCACCATCGGCCCTGCCGATGCCTGAGATAGAACTTCTTCTTGAATGATGCCTTGTTCGAGCGAATCGATGAATTGGCTCCGAGTTGTCTCACTCATCAACGAGATCAAGCCATTAAAGGCCGATAGAAATGTTTGCGGCATCGTCCTTGGCGGTATAATGAAACCGCCCAATTTGCGAGCTGCTATCATGATTAAAAAGTGTTAACAGCTTCGTGCGAAGAAAAAATGATGGCGTAAGGAAGCAAAATTGTTCCGATTTTGTTGCTGTATCCAGAGAAGAACGATCTTTACACTCGACCTGATCCAAAGAAAGATTTTTCATACAATGATAAGAAGAGCAGCTGGATACAGTATTGTCACTGATACAGTGTCGGTGCTCCCGCATCTGTTTGTATTTTTTCCGCACGGCCTTTCTCTGGGTCAAGAATCAGAGCTATTGCCTTCCCATATCGCAGTTTGGAAATCATGATAGTGCGATTGCGTAACACAAGTACGTACCGTACTACTGTTTCGTACTTGTCGAGTACTCGTACGTACCCGTACCGGTATGTACCCGAAGGTTTCGTTCCAAAGTGAAGGTTTGAATTTGAATTCATCTTCGTAAGTATTCATCTTCGTACAGTACAGTATGCATTACTATTGTACAGTATTACGATGCGATTAGATTTGTTACAGTACGAGTACGAACGTGAGATGCGGCTCGAAATTCGAAATAGGAAGTACTTCGAATTACATACGGTACACCGATACCATTAGTACGTACGTGTATTACAGTATCGATGAAAACAAAAAAGTTGTGTTACTCATCTAGTCATGGTTTTAGTGAAATGGCAACACGCTCAACTTACAATTCTCTTAATGCCCTACTCTTTCGCTCGGTAATAGTTTAATATTTCAAATTTAAAATGGTGTGCTTTGTTTTCCGATGTGCAAGGATCGACTGAGCCAGCCAAATGAATCAACCTCGCAGCGGCAACAGGTACAACTCGTGCTTCGAGATCATGTATCTTTTGTGTCCCTCCAGGAGTTTCACATAACGCTCCGCACAACCGTTTTCCACCTTTTTTTTTGGTTCATCAGCATCATTTTGCTCATCTTTCCCCCTCCGACGTTTGTTGCTCCTGCCGACTTCGGAACTCTCCGTCCAGAAATCGTCAATCAGATTCTCAAAAGATTGCATCTTTGTGCATAATCTTCTGTCATATGATTCCAAAGCCATTGTTCGATTATCTTCTTCAATAAAGCTCAAGGCAACTTGGTTAGGAATTCTTGTCATGAACTGGTGCATCATGTATTTGAAAGCATTTTCCTTGTTTACGGCAGCAAGTGGATTTTCCAATGCATCATCGAATGAGACCAAGTCCTTCCAAGATTGCGAGTACGACCAAAGGCATCGACGGGCACTACCAATTGGATCCCTAGGCATTTCTTTGTTTTCTCTTCGTTCTAAGGAACCAATAACCCCTATCAGTCCGGAGTAGCTTAAAGGAAAGGGAAGCAAAAAGTCGATAGAAAACACGTTTGCTAGTTTCTCACGCACTCCATTCAATTTGATTTTTCGACKATCCGCTGCTTCCTGTACACGGTCGAAAGATGTTCCGATCACGGTTTCTTCGTCTGATGAATGACTTGCAACTTGTGTTTCCCAAAATATTCGAAAGCAGCACGATGGAAACTCAAGAAGCAAATAAGGTGGGATTATTTTTCTTCCACCACTTTTTGTACCTGTAGTATTCGTATCTCCCATTTTGTCGGTAGTATCACTTCTTTCGGAATCTTGAAGTTTATCTTCATCCTCCCTTGGCCCAACTATCATTCCAAGCATCTGATTCAAATCGACCTGAAAATTGTTGCCTGCAGTGGTATGAATTATTCATGATTTTGAAGAATGATGGTTGATAGTGGTACATTTTGAGATACGCATCGCCAATACCAAACGTAATTGTAGCAAGAGCATTGACAAAAATAGTCAGACGAACGATCAAAAGAAGTGCAATGGTTATCACGACAAAAGTTCACGAAACACATGTCCAAATAGTTGTTTGTTTTTGCAATTTATGTTTTCTACCACTACTCACCATCTATGTTTGCAATCAAGACCGCCTCTCCATCTGCCTCAATTTCATCCCTAATTTCCGAAAGATTCCTTTGATTAGCTTTCTTTACCGGCGTGGTCATGCCTTTTTCGGGAAGCTTCGCAGTATGCAGGATCAATGCGACCTTGCACATAGTTGGATCGTTTGTCGAAATTGCAGCATGATCGGAATGTGTGCCACTGCTTTTGTTTGTACATTCCCCAACAATATTGCTTTGGTGAGAAGCATGGGCATTCACCTTATTTTGTTTGTCGTTAGCGGAATCTTCCTCGGTACTTGTGCTTGTCAGAGACGTCGTTTTCAGTGGTAAAAAATAGGCAGGTACGCTGGTTCCTCGCTTTGAGGTCACGTTCGCGTTGGTGCTGGGCGCTGAATTTTCGCACGGCTCGATCGATAAACTTACGTCATCGAGTAAAAGATCATGAGATAATGCTGGATCCAGTCCGTGGCCATCCGGTACCGAAGACGACGGCACAGGGAACAAAAAAGGCTGGCAGCAAAGAAATGAGCTCCGGTCCATTTGCTACGGTATGATATGATAATGGAGCGCCTTGACCTTGTGCGGTGCAAAGTCAACCCTAGATAAACCAGTCTAGTCTCCGGAAACTGCCAAGTTTTATTTAATCCCACCTTCGCAATGTAACAGTGCGTTTGTAATGCTAATGCTAATGCTAATGATGATTGATTCTAGGTCACAGATGCTGCTGGTCTATCAATTCGTTTGTTGAGAAATCGATTAAAAAAACGTGCCGAAAAAGATCATGGTGCTCAGTGCTCACACACTTAAAAATCGCGCCAACATATGCTTAATAATGTATATAAATACGTTGCCGTATGATGTCCTCCTTTACGAATTACGAAACGCGAACACAGGGAACAGCCAACACGTGATTTACAGTAAAATGAATGGAAAAAGAGGGGTGAAACGGTCGACAACAGAGCGTCTCCCAAAAACCAGGTTCTCTTTTGTGACCCAGGCCAGAGGTTAAACTGCACTTCCTTCGTTTTGTTCTGTACTGCTACGAACTGTCCTGACCATCATCAACAAATAAAAAAGCAGAGCAAAGGCGACTTCGTTCGATCAGTACTGGTCCTCATACTGTTACATGTACCGGTTTACAGCCAACGCAGTCCACTATCATTACACGATCGATCGATACTACGGCAATACTCAATACTTGATACTGCATGGTACCGGTGACCCACACCAGTACTCTTATTTCGATCACTCAGCAACCTCAAGAAGTACAAGACTGTTGAAAACTCGAAGAACTTCTGAATAAACACGCAGGACTATTAAATAAGTAACAACCATGGATGAAGTAAGTTTGCTGTGTAGCACTTTATTTTCGAAGAAGACCGGAGTAAATGGAGAGGGATTGCCTTTCTCCCGTGCCTGTATACTGCTAAACAGTTGGTGGAGAGATTTGTTATATTGCGTCTCAAATGGTCTGATGAAGCTGCATAGTAAATGATCCTTATGATCTCAGTAATGAAAAGAAGACTTTCTTTTGTGTTGTTGATGAAAAAACGAAAATATTTGAATACACCCGAATAACATCTCATTGCTCTCCGCATTGCGTTTTTCTTTTTTCCATTTTCTATTGATTGCATTGAATGGTGTTGCACTGTGGTGATAAACTACGGCACTGATAATAGGAAGTCGTTTGCCCCCTGTGTTGTGAAGAGTTGGACATCTCGGACAGACAATTTTTCCCCTGTAAATGTGGTTATCAAGTATGTATGTGGTGCTGGCACCGAATTCGAGAATCGGAGTCCGGATTGTGTCCAGCGTGCCGTACACCGTATGGGGATGACCCTCACGAATTTAGTGCTGTCGATGTAGAGGATGTCTTAAAAGCAAATAAGGAGAAGGAAGCAGCAGCGAAAAAAGAAAGAGATCGCCAGAGGCATCAGTCCAACGAGGGATATATCTCGGAAGTGGAGGGACTTGCAGGCGGGAGGCAAGTTGGTCAAATGGAGATCCCTAAGGATCGAACTCAATTAGCAAATATGAGGGTTATCCGTAGAAATCTGGTGTATGCGGTAGGTCTTCCACCGAATATTTCTACAGAAGAACAACTCCGGAAACCCGAGTATTTCGGACAGTACGGAAAAATTGCGAAAATTGTTATCAACCGAAGCCAAACGACTTCAGGAGGAGACGCAAGACGAGCGAGTGCTTCTGCCTACGTCACATTGGTGCACAAGGTACGTTATTTGATACACCAAAGAGATTGTTCATTTATCCAGAGTTACGTCGAGAAGTTTTTGTTGACGCATGCATATATCACTTCCCATCCAACCAAACAATACGCCCAATGCATTTATGTTTTCTGACGAAACCAACTCTTTTGTTTCTGCCAATTTGCGTTGGCACAATCAATCTCATTCCTAGGAGGATACGCTGGCTTGTATTTTGGCGTTAGATGGGTTCTATATGGATGGCCGGAATGTACGATCGTCTTATGGGACCTCAAAATACTGCTCTGCATTTATAAAGAACGTTCGCTGTAACAATCCAGAATGTACCTATCTTCATAATATGGGACTAATAGAAGACACGTTTACAAAACAGGAAATTCAAGCGGGATATGTGACCAGTGGAAGAGATGTCTTGGCACGCCAGCAACAAATTGTTCAACAGGCATTGAGTGCCGCTAGCGGTGCCGCGGGTACCACTCCACGCAGAAGAACAGGAGGAGGAGGACCATCCGGAACAGGAAAAGCATCTTCAAATCCTATCTTTCCTCCTCCTTCATATGACGAAGCTGTAAAAAATCCCACGACTTCCCTCGTTCCGACGCCTCCAACAATAACACATGTGCGGTCTGCAGCGGCTGCTGCTGCATCTGTACAGACGATTGGTTCTGGATTCCCTTCAATTTCTGCTGCCGGAGCCGGTTCATCGTCTTCGGCTTCTTCGAACCATATGAATGCGGCAAGCAGAGTAGCGTCTTCCTCTGTAATTTCTGCGTCGAAGAATATTGGACCTGCAGGCGCACTTTCCAGTGCATCAAAAAGCGCCGTCGCTTCCTTGCCGATGTCCCAGACCGCTCGCAAAAATATGCCGGGTTCTATCAATGGCACCAACAGTGGATCTATGTCTTTAGCACCAGCTGGTGCAACCGCAGCATCTGTCGTTGCCGGTGTTCATAGCGTCTCTAGTCACTCAGAACCTCCGGCACCTCATACTACGCTCACACCGTTGACACCGTTGAAACGAAGCACCACTGCATCGAAGGGTGCACCAAAGACAAATAGTGCATCCGATGTTCAAAAATATTCAAATTCTCGAACAAGTACAAAGAAAACTAGTGGGCTCAAATCGGCATCGTCACAACCTGCTGCTTCGAATCCCGAAGTAGGTATATCGTCGATCAGAAACAATGTCCCAGGTCAACTAGAGGGTATCGGAGGGGATGTAATTTCTGCTCCGGTCTCGGTTCCCCCTCCTATCAACAGAGAACTAGCATCAACCAACGGTATTCCTCGTGGCCCGCAATTGAAGTTTGGTGGAGATGGACTCGGTGGTCTTGGCGGAGAAGTATTTGATGGACCATTGTTGTCCTCTTCGAATACTAGGTCAGCGATCGGTTCGGGCAAGGGCAAGTGGGACTCGCTCAACGATGCTGGTTTCCCAGGGAACACTAAAGCTCAATCATGGGGCAATGGTTCTCAGAATGCTCTGCCTGGTGCGAATAGAGACTCGATTGGAGGCGGAGTCATAGGAGGCGGGCCGATTGGTAACTTTCACGGATCGGGTAGCTCTGCTTTAGCATCGATGCTGGGCATCAACTTGCCCACAGGTTCTGGATCCCTTCGCGAGACATCTTCACAGCTTTGGTCATCGGAACCTGGGCGACAATCTTCTATGTCTTCATTTAATAATGATTCCTTGCCTTTGCAAGGTGTGATCGGAGGAGCAACGAAGGCAAGCAACAACCCTATCGGCGGAGTCCCAATCGGCGGAATGAATAGTCAGATCCCAGCGAATCCAAATGTAAGCAACAGCAGCGACATTGCTCTTCTTCAGAGTTTGTTGCCTGGGGTACATATTACGAGTGGCGGCAATTATCAAGGGAGTGGCTTTGGATCCATCGGGAGTAGCAATAACAACCCTGGACGGGGTCCTTCTCATCACAAAAACGGTGGTAGTGCATCGTTGGCATCTGGAGATACTCACCAGGGCTTCGGTCTCCAACAATCTTTGGGTGGTCAACCAATAGGAACTATTGGGCAAAACCAAGGCCATGGTAAACAGAGACAAGCACCTGGTAGTATCTGGTAGAAAAGCTGCATGTGATAGGAAACAATTATCAGTGGATGAAACTGTCTCGATGCATATTCATACTCTCAACAAGAGAAGTGGAACCAAAAAACTGAAATCAGAATGGAATAGGATGTGTGAAATGGAATGGATTGATATTTGAAAAAATACACGGCAATGGATTTTGATCGGAAAAATGTGCAATGGAAAAAAGTGGAATGGATTGGTAATGGAATAGTATGATTCTAGATTTCAGTTTATGGCGAATCTTGCCTTTTGTTCTTTTCAGACTTTCTTCGTCATGCCTGCCTTCCCTTAATACTACTTTCACTCTTATTTCCTGTTTGCTGTTGCCTACCTTGGTTTTTGACAACCTTGTACGAAAATTGACACGCCGAGTTTGCGAGGTTGCATATCACTCTTGTATTTCTCTGATTGTCGGAGAGCGTCTTTGTTTCAGTCCTTCGAAACCACTTCGTCTCGTCGAGAACACTATCCGAAGCTATCGTTGGTTTCATTACGTTTGCGGTTGTATTCATCACTAGTAGAACTTTGAACGAAACCGAGTCGTCCCAAGCACAAAATCGTAGTCCTTCTAGTCTGGCAGTGCTACAAACCAAATCTCGTAGATCCTTTTCAACCTCTCCCATTATCGAATTGGCTAGATCACTTCTTTCATTATCCAGTGTCAAGGGAAGAGAAAAAGAGTGGCTTAGTGCAGCAGAGGTTACGTCAGCATCACGATCTTCAAGTCCTTCGTGTGAAAAGAAAAGCGAATACTGTTCGTGCGTAATCCCTTTCTCCCGATCATAAATTTCGACCTGAAGTTCCTTGGATCGACGACGATGTTGACCGTGACCTTCGTTTAGAATAATGCCCTTTTCTTCATCAAATAAACTCGGTAAAATACTTCTCAAAGCTTCTGAGATGTAAACGAGTACTCTAGGATTGCGATTAATTTTGCAAGCGACTCCGGCAAAACGAGCCGACGAAAAAGTATCCTTTGGATAGACTCTTCGATGATAAAGCAATTGATGGATAAAAATCTCTAGTCCAGTTTTCCATAGTGCACTAACCGCAAGCCGCAACTCATCGTGCACCCTTTTCTCCTCACTTTCGTCCTCCCCGATTTGATCGTTGATCCCCATTTCGTAGTTTCCGTGGCGTTCATCGCTTTCATAATCTTCTTCCGAGGCATCATCGCCAACATTATTTTCTTCGATTATCTCCCTCCACCCATCAACGTCCCTTCCCCTTCCAGTATGATCCTTGTTTTCGTTATTATCCTCAATTTCATCCCGAATGATTTCATTGTTAGTTTCAAAGTACCAGTTCAATTCTTCATCCTTACGAACGTCATTCGGATTCTCGTTGCCCTCCATCACTAAACTTGTTCGAAACGTTTAGGATCGATACTGAAGTTGTCGATCATTTGTTCGATAGTGATGTTGTTGTACTGGTACTACTAGTAGTAGTAATGGTACTAGCACGTAAAACTAGTACTAGTAGGAAGTACTGTAGTACAGTACTTGTTTCTATTGTCTCAATTTCTATTGTCTCAATTCACATGAATATTTCCTATTTCTTCCTCCAAAAACCAAAATTCAACTTGTACTATTATTGGGTCATTCCCACATACACAGTAATATGTCTTTTTTGACCGGCTGGCTCTTTTAATGTATCTCAAAAACACAGATAGTACTGGTGGTTGTTGTGATCTGTGTTTTTGACATAAATATTGATTGGAATCCTTGACTAGTAAGCAGTTCCAGTCTGACAAGTGGACGTGCCCTATAGGCAGGAGTCACTGGGCACCAAAAAGAACAAACTGGAATGTTCAATCCTTCCTCCTCCCTTAAAAGAGCATCCATTTGCTTTTGTCTCTCAAGAACACACACACATCATGAAGAAGGGCATCAGAACAACACAGGACAAGAGACAAGAACACCAGCATGCTGACCATGATAGGAGGAGGGAGTCTTCCATGCCTGTGCATCCCTCTAATGAAGAGTGCCACAAGTATAAAGATTATTCTGTTGTGGAGGATGCAGGAGCTTGCTGACAAGAGAGAGGAGGAGCGAGGAGGAGTGCTGGAGCCGTGTTCTTGAGAGGGAAGACCTTGGTGAAGAGTGGGAGGATCACAAAATCCTGTTTGTGATTCATAACCATCATAAAAAAGAATTGCTCCAACTGACAACATGATGGCCATGGCTCCAGCTCCAGCAGCTGCAGCAGTGGCTCCAGGAGGACCAGTTGCCCAAGAAAGAGGAGGGAGGAGTCGTGGCACCACCACCAATTAGCACACCTTTAGAGGGAGACCATGGTGTGCATGCTTAAGACCTTGAGGAAGATCCTTCCTATTGGACCAGATCAATGGATAAAAGTTGTCCATATCCATGAAGAAAACTGGAATACTGGAAGAGACAAGGGATCCATCACTAGGAAGTACACCTCCCTCCACACCAGGAAAAGAATTCCTACTGGGAATCCAAACATAACTTCTGCCATCAGGCTTGCAAAGGAGATCAAGCATTTGATTGGTGTGAAGGTGGCCATTGGAGATGCTGAGGAGGAATTTGATTTTGAAGAAGGACACATTATAGTAGTGAGGATAGTACCACCAACACCACTTTTGAGGACAATGGCAACGTCGAGGACAAGGAGAACAAAGAGAACAACAATATTCCTCCTCCACTTCATTAATCTTCCCAACTTACTCAAGAAATGCCAATGCTAACGGGGTCTGATCTGCTGAGTGTGTTTGTCCATGATAAATCTATCACCAACTGGCTGAAAGAGGGAAAGGAGATGCCCAAAGACCCTGTGGACCACACTACAGCAATTTAGAAGAGCCTGGTCATCACCAGACCCAAAGAGGTGGATGAATGGGAGCATTGTCATTCCCATGAGTGTAATCCTTGGCATTCTTCTGTCTCTTTGGAGCCTGTCCTCAAGGGAGTGTTGATATCGTATCTCCTCCTCCTCCTCCTAAAGGAATGCTGCCCATGCAATAAAAAGCAACTCAGGGGACATTTTGATGTGAAGTAGGAATCGATGGCCAAATAGTGAGGACGGAGACTGTTCTGGAGGAATTGATAGGAAAATAGTGAGGATAGAGGCTGTTTTGAATGAGGAATGCAACTAGTTGTAGAGCTGCTGGTTTTGTGGTGGTGAACATCTGAATTGGCTCTTACTACTACTACTACTACTACTACTACTACTACTACTAGTATTGGCGCCATGAACTGGAATCTTGTGAAATTTGTGTGCAATTATATGGGATTCCAAATTCAAAAAATGGGGGGAAACATGTACTTTCAGAGAGCCTGCCATGTCTTAAGTGCCACTGGAAACATTCCTGCATGCATATATCCATGTCTGGGTGAGACGATGTGCAATTGTTACGAAACTCGTAGTAACAGTTTTTTCCACAAAAATAAATTTTATGACACAGGATGATGACAATTCGACTTCCAGTTGGTGCAGCGAACCACAAAAGACCTAATCAGGAGCTAGTGTTCTTTGTTTGATTTCCCGACATGAACTGAGAGATGCAGGTACCAGTTAATCAGAAATAAAATTACACCTAGAATTAACAATTTTGGGCCACATCACTACTGTAACTTTGCCTGACCACCAGTTCTAAGCTGCTAGAGCATCCTTTGGCGTCCCAATGACCTGGATCTTTAAGTAATTGTATCAACTTGGTCTGGGCGCTTAGTCTGGTGGTGGTCTAAAGTTGTTTTTTTGGATAGAGTTCTGGCCTATTTTCTAACCAGTAGCTGGTCTCCACTGGCCAAATTTGGCCATACCAGCTGTTAATGGAGAACCGGCTCCTCCCTGGTCCCCAATCATGTAACAATGACACGCAGCATTCTTCTGAACACTATGACCGAGCATATCCCCAAAGGTGATCTCATTAGAGGCCTTTCCGGAGCTGTTCTTGTGTTTAGCTTATTTTACCTTATTGGGCTCTTTGTGGTGGAAAAAGTGACCGAATAGTAGTAGATCTATGTAGGATCAGTACTAAATACTGATTCTTACTAGTAAATTTTTTTGGGTAAATCCCTTGGAGTAAAATTACTTTTTTTCAAGTAGAGTGCGGTAGGGTTCTTATGGTTAACGCATTTTATTACCGATTAACTGAACTGGTACTCGTAGATTTCCGATTCCAAGTGGCGTGCGCACAAGATTTTTCTGGCAAAAACAGACGGTACGAGAAGATTCGAAAATACTTTTTTACGTACGTACCAGGTACCGGTACGAGTACGAGGACCTCGTACTTCTAATTAAGAATTACTACTATTAAGTATTGTCCTCCGATTAAGTACTTTACTCGTACGAGTACGTTTCTTGTACGAATATCGTACGTACCGGTACCTACCAGTACACATCAAGAAAAGAAGACCTCATGTTTTCTTCACCTCGACAACACATCCATCAAAAAGTCGACGACACCGATTCTGTTTTTCATCGAACACCATCAAACAATCTCTAGCATTCGGTACTACCATTCCATATATTGTAACTGCATTCAACGGGGACCATGACGGTGACATCTTCACAGACAAGAAGCTTCTACGGACAAAGGAAGATTTTGAGTTTCTTGCAGATATGTTTGACTGTTTTGTTACTGGTGCTCTTCATTGCCCCTAGGAACCACGTGCAAGCTTTCTCAACGACTTCGCAGGCATTCGCGACAAAACCTGATCAAAGTGTTACATTTAGCAGACATTTTGCTGTATGGGCAAGTATTGGTGAAAGTTTCGTTGACGAGACCAGCAACGATGATACCTCTAGCAGTGCCACAGCATCTTCTTTGGACTGGTCCTTCCTCGACTCTGTTTGCCTCATTCATTGTCCGAACGGCGACGTCGACGGAAACAGAATACAATCCACACGGAATATCTTGAACACCATAAATCTTCTCGACAGCACTACAATCAAAGAATTTGAGACCGACGATGAAGATAGAGTTCGAGGATGTTATACTTCGCATGTCAGTGTTTTCAGGGATGTTCTCGGAGCAAATTCTAGGGGTTCATCGGTATCCCCGGGTGGTTTTGATTTTTTTAATGTCTTTCAAAAGGTAAATGCTCGTTCCATTGACAGCAAAAATGATGGCAAGGATCTTAACGTGTTGATTTTTGAAGACAATTTGAGCCTTGGTAACCGAATATTGACACAGGACACAATAGACGCTGTGTCTGATTTCATCGAAAACAAAAACAGCAAATGGGATGTGATTCATCTGGCATACATTCCATACGTTCCAGACCTAAAGGTGTCCAAAACTAACGAGGAGAGAATAGTGAAATTATCCACGTCGAATAGCCAAAGTGCACTTGGTACCACAGCCTATATCATCAACAAGAGAGCAATGGAAAGAATCATAGAGGAGGATGACCAAAATGGTTATACTTTGTCCATCCCAGATAAAATGGCGGTCTTGTTTGGCGACTCACGATATGCATTGAATCCTACGGCGTTCGTCAGGGCTCCTGCGACAAAGAGTTTGGTCAATCCACAATTGGACGATTTGCGATCCATTCTGTTTCGGCCTACGGTAGTGTCAATCGTCCAGCAAATACTAGTAGTGACGGGCTTGTCGACAACAGTCTTGCTACCATTGGTAATTCTGCTGCTAGTGCTTACAAGCATTAGCAGTGCAACATCGTCGGTCCGAGCAGCGATTGAATTTGCAAACTATGGAACAGTAGACGGCCCGCTGCTCTTTCCTATTATGAATTCCATTATTTCACTTTTTTCTCTGGGTCTAATCATTCAGGGCGTTCTCCTTGCACCAAAACCAGAAGAAGAAAACGATGATGAGTAGCGATCCACAAATATGAAGTCTTTAAATGACGAAGCCATCTTTTTGGCTTCCGGATGAAGTTATTCTTTTTCAACCATTCTGAAAGAAACTCCATAGCTGTCACAGCAAAGAAATTAATGTATTCAAATTCTATTGATCACCTGCACGTTTCTCTCAATGAAAGACAGTGAGTTCTCCGATCAGAATCATATTTTTGAAGGATTAGTCATATCAATACCGACAAAAATCATCTATATTACGGAAGTCGCTTCAAAATTTCTCTGTCAAGATTCAAATGTTACAGATCCCTTTTCACCATAACGAGAGGATAGCGTATGATGAGTTACGAGACAAATCATCACAAAGGATAGCAGTCCAAGAATCGCACTCCATGTCAAGTAATCATTTCCAATTTTGATGATCCCGAACACTGCAAGCTGGAGGATACCAAGGACATAAAATAAATATTTCAACCGTTGTTGATTTGACTGTGTGAGAAAGAGACTGCCGACAGGTGCACCGAGTACCACAATCGGTATACATGCCATCAATGCCTGGTATACTCGATCATCAACTATTGCTTGCGAATCTTTCTGTGTTGTCACGCGTAGTATGGAGCCGAATATACTGGTATTAGCCATTATTATGACGGATCCAGCCGTCAAGGTATTTCCACCTATTTTCCCTTCTGTATTACCACTGCGGGAATATCCATGTCGAGACTGAGTAGCATTGTAGACGCAACCGTAAAAGTAGAATGCGATGTCAGCCCCTGATCCGATTTGAGAAGAAAGGATACCTCCTGCAGTTGCGAATACTGGGAGGCATATGTACATGGTAAATGTTGTCGCCATCCACCTTCTATCGCTTCCGGCAGAATCTGACACATTCGATATTGTTGTCTCTAGTGGTACACATGAGGAATCAACGTGGGGCCCTTCTCGAATGATTTCCGACTCGATGTCACTGTCGCTGATGTCATCTGATACCTTTGTCATACTGCGTTGGTGAGTCTTGCCGGCATCATTCCCCCCCGCGCTTCTGTCATTGACCACAGCCTTTCGTCTTCTAGCAACAACATCGAAATACGCCAAGACCAAAGCAATACACGCTACTGTGGTTGTGTACATAATGTTCACAACGTACGGAGAAAGACCAGAAAAGCATTCGAAGCCAACGATCATTCCAATGACACTCAAGATACTAAATATCACCATGGCATCTTCGCATCCACTCAATAGGCATCGTTTCTTATAGAAAATGAGAAATGAAGCTGCTGTCATCCCAACAGATTGTATCAAGAGGCTAAAATCTCTGCCTTGGTCCGGGCTAAATCCAAGCACAAGAACAGATACCGGAAAGGCAACGACTCCTCCTCCAAGTGGAGTTGACCCAGCGATCATGGAGCCTAGGACCATTGCTACCATCATAGGATAGTAGTTTACAACGGCAGAGACCAAGGCATCCTCCCGTATCCCGATTGTCAACCATATTGGGTAGACGCAAAGGGCGGGTAAGAAAATTGTCGGTACACCTCTTCCCACTCTCGACATCAGAGATACGCTTGATAGGGGTATGAGTCAATTTTTACACTGAAAGCTTTGTCACGCCTGTGTCGGGCAGCAAAATGCTGTGGAGACAAATTTTGCTTTTTGATATACCGGTACTTCTTGTCTGAATGCAGAAAAAGAGGTGGTCATGTGAGGATAGTACCGGTATCAATATGCTGTATTCGATATTTGACTGAGAAATCACGAATTGCCTGAACTGATAAAATGGCCTCACGAAAAAAAGAAAAAACTGTATTTTCACGATTCACGATTTGAGGCTAAATCGCGAGAATTGGACAGGAAGAGACGTCTAAATAGATCACGAGTAGATAGTGACTCACTATTGTCCTCACTTTTCGTTGTCTGAGAAACAGTTCTCGCTGAATGAAGAGCACACGTACCTTATCTGGTACTGTAGTCGATAGTCGTGCGTACGTACTTACGACTTACGAGTACGAGTAACTCGTATCTGTTCATTTCTGAACGAAAAACTAGATGTACATACGTATGCGACAGTACGGAACGTACGTACCGTACGATTATTTGTCTTCCTGCGGAATTACATGGTCGTAAAAGTATTACTGTATTTTTTAGGGTTCTGTACTTCGTACGTTTAGTACGAATCGAATGGATCTCAAATTCTGTGACAGAAATTCAAAACCTCGTTCCGACTATTCATGCAAGTAAAATTCATGTTCAATGCATTGGTTCTCTGACAGGCCTGTTATATTGTAGAAGTACGACCTAAGGTAGATTCGAAAACCCTTGTTGACACCTCCTTATCTCCAACACCAAATTAACCACACCAGAAGGTGATGATGGCAACTAGAACAAATCATTATCGTCGATCGATGAAAGCTGTTGGAATCAGATTCAGAACTCTTCCGACGATTCTGCTGACGAGCAGGCTCCTGTTTTCGTTGCTGCCGTCGTACGCCACGGCATTGTCCTATTCAACACAGAGCAGTAAAAGTGATGGGATTAGCGAAGTCTCAACCTGCTCACATTCGTATTCATATCGAACGGTACAGGTTCAGGTCGTTCATCGCCACGGAGATCGGACTCCCATCACCCCTCTGAAAAACGAGGAATACTGGAAAAATCAACTGGTCCCGGAAGAATTGCTAGAGAGGGTTGCTGCCGGAACTATGGTGTTGCGAAACGGCGACACTGACAACAACAATGTCAAAAATCAATTGGAGGTGCATGCGGCTGCCGGAAAAGGGCCTTTTGGAAAACTGACCAAACTGGGCCTGTTGGGCATGATTCAGGTGGGAACTAGCCTGAGGGAAGAACTGGAAGAATCAACGAATTGGTCCGAAGTCACGAACGCGGCAAAAGCAATTGCCACCACGATGGTTTCATCGTCACCATCGATTGGAAGCGAAGCTAACCACAACGACGATGGCTACCTCGATCAAAACAGAGGACTACAGCAGCATGGAAGAATAAAACTCACACCAAACGACATCAAGGTTTATTCGACTGATTTTGACCGGACTATTCAAAGCGTTCAGGGACTTCTGCTGGGCTTCTTCCCCGATGCAAATGACGACGAAACCACTATATCCATCGACTGTCGGGACACTACCTGTTGGATGATCCCCGATCCGCAACCGAGGCAGACCCAAGAACAAAAAGTCTTGGAACAAGCACTCGCTCGGCGACCACACATCTTGGAAAAAGAAGCGTTGCTTCGGCCCCTAGCGGTTCGCTGTACACGTGCGCTCTTGCCCCTCCTCGGAGACGGCGCCTTTGGCGTCTCCTTTGGAGTCGACGAAAGCGACGACGACAATGAGGACATCCAGGTCCTGTCTTGGATCCAACTCACCGAGATCACCAAGTGTCTCAGAACGAGGGACATGCTACCCGATTCCATCACCGAGGATGACCAAGAGGCGCTCTCGGCCCACACGGCCTGGAAGTGGTTTCAGTCCCTTCGGTCTCCGCGACTGGCCCATATTGCCATGCGTAGCTTTACCCAAAACATAATTCGTACCATGGAACAGAGAGACCAAGAGCCGCCTCTTATTGTCTACAGCGGCCACGATTCCTCTCTGATCGGTCTGATGTGCGCCCTGCACCTCGAACAACCCAGCGTTTGGCCCGAATACGGAGCGGTTTTGAAATTGGAACTGTTGGAGAAGAGAAAAGAGCACAACAACGACGCACTCGATGGAGGCGAAGCCCCCGTCAATGGAAACGGCAGTGAGAAACAACACGTGGATGACAACGATGATATCGAGCACGTGCTGCGATTCTTTTTGAATGGACAGCTTTTGAGGTCCACATGGAACGATATCCCGCGGGATGAAATCTCTCTCAAAGAGTTTGCCCATTTGGCATCTACAGTGGGAAATGAAGCCACCACCAACACGACATGACATGCTAAATACAACACAACTCAGCACAACTGAATGGATCGACCAATACGCAGGAGCTAATTGATAAGTTTATTTCTCGAATTATAATGGCTTTAGCACACTAGTTTTCCACTATAAGCAATTCCAGAAACACAAGAAAATCACCAATGTTGGCACAATCATTTTTTGGATTTCTTGTTCTTGTGCTCTTTAAAAAATCTGAAGTAGACTGTTTCAACTATTTGATCGTCTAGATCAACGGGAATGACCCAATGTACCATAGACCTACTGGTATTGGGTCATTCCCATTAATCTAGATGGTCTAAAAGTCTAAACGGTCTACTTCAGTTGAGTCTTTCAATGGATTTTCATTCTTGGATTCCAGTCTAGATTTAGACTTTCTGTCAAGGGTGAATCAAGAGTTGACGGATAGTCAAAAAATTAAGACTAGATGGTCTATTTTTGGTCTGTCTTACGGTATCGTCCATCGTGCTCTTCAGAGGGATGGGCGTGGGCGCTCCGAACTGGCACGTGCTCTGGAGATGGTGCCGGCCCTCTCTCCCCCACGGTTTGATTACCGTGGACTGGCTTCGGACGAGAGAAATACGGACACAGGTCCCATCCGCTTTCCTTCATATGAAAACGCTAGAAAGTAGTGTTCTCACAAAGCAGAACCCAGAGTTTTAGCAGCAGGCGGTCTTTTTTTGGTCGGTCCAAGAACTTTGCAACCCGATCTGTGTCCCGTATCTGGCATCTACAAGAGCGAAGACTCCTTCAAAAGTAACTCAAGCGAGACTTGAAGATGTCCAAATCCGAAGATAGCCCAGATGAGCACTCCACATCATCGGAAAAGGAAACCAAGGACGATGTATTTTTGATGGCTGCTCGAGAGAAAAAAAAGAGGTTAAAATCGAACGGCACCGAATTGGGTGATGAAAGAGGCCAGTGGCTCAAAAACTTGCGGTGGACCATATCCTGTGACAACAATGAAAAAGCAGCAAACTTTGCTGACTGTTCTTTGATCGTCAAAGCCGACTGCAATGGCGTTGCCGCTTCCATTCAAAACAAAGTGCAAGACGGAGCTGAGACTTCTTCTGAACGTGTTTATGTGGTCCATCGAATTGTGCTCGGGATGCAGAGTGATTACTTTCGGACCATCTTTGCAACTAGCTTTGTGGAAGCGCAAACCAGAACGACCACCATTGTATTGCCATCCCCCGTTGTGACCCACTTGCATTTCGAAAACCTCCTAGATTTTCTCTATGGAAGAGGTCTAATCTTGAACGATTTCAATGCTGTGAGTATGGTCTATCTGGGGGACTATTTCCAGGTCAAGAAAGTGAAAGAGGAATCCCAGGCCTTTATCGGCTTGTCAATGGACGACGATCCCAGTTCATGGTTTCAAGATGATAGTGGCCATCACAAGAGCCAAGAACTCACAAGAATCTACCAAGATGCAAAAAGTTTACATATGTCTGACCTCCAACAATCCGTCTTGCAAACTTGTGCACGGCATCCCGAAGTTATGGCAAATAATATAGAGTTATCAAATGTCCCAGTTGTGGAGTTCTGGAAACTTGTGTGGGATGCTAGAAAGAACTATCCTGATCAAACTGTAGCTTCCCTTAAGAAATGGAGTGAAAGCGCAGCTCACTTTATCGGAACACATCAAGATTCGATAGACCGTGATCTCTTTTGCAAACTTATTGTTGCTGATTCCTTGCCTGTGATTTCACCAGATGCAGCTGCCACTTTGATGGAACAAGAACAATTTTTTCTTTCTGCTGAAGACCGCAATGATGAAGAGCTCACCTGCCTCCAAGAGCGGTGCACAAATGCCCTATACAATAGTAGAACTGGTGCATGGCAACTAGCACAGAAAGATCCCATAATTTTGATGAATTTGTACAAACAACTATCGAAACTGCCCCTGATTGTGATGAAAACAATCATTTTGAAAACAATGAACATGGAGCCTAAAGGCGTCTTTGTCAGAGTGATTGGAGCAGGAACAGAATCCTGCAATGGGGTTTACAAACTTCTTTTTCATTCAAACTCAAAATTAGTGTTTGTTCAAGATGGTGTTTTCAACGAAGAAAAAGGACAATTTGAAATCTATCCTTCAAAAGGACGCTTTCTCATAACTTTCAAGTCATTCTATTTGTACTCACAGAACGTCATTCGAAGCCAAGAAAGTTGCATGCCCCCTAAAACAGGATGGCTTGCTTGTGGCCACGCTAAGAACCCTCCACCAAAGTTAAATTACATATAATATTGTGGAACACTTCAGGTCCCGTGGCAAATGAGACCATCTTTTCCACAATTAGTGAAGAGCAAAACGCAAAAATAGTTCGGATTGGTATGAAATTTGCAGCACTTAAATTATAGAATAAAAAGATGCACTAGGTTATCCTACTAGTAGTATAACAATCACGACGTGAAAACACAACTAACAGAACTACTACTTAACAACTTTGACAGTTGGATTTGACAAAATCCAATTGTGGTAGATATCAATTATTTGTCATTCCAAAATGAAAGAGAACCAAATTCCTCCCAAGACTAAAAAACTCAGTCATCGTTATTGCCATCAGTCATTCTGAAATGAAAGAGAACCAATCTCCCCCAGTACTTGGAATGACCACCAGCATTCATTATTACAATACTAGAACTTCCAGCAGCAGTGCTGGTCTGTTTATGAGAACACCCCTTCTCCTCTTCACAAAAAAAGTACTGCCAACAATGTTCAACATAGACAACAGATCAATTAATTCCATTCCTGTTTTAGAAACAACAAACAGCCACAGTTGTTTTGTTAATTTACTTTTAATTCTTTTCAACTTTTCAACCTACTAGTATGCTCTCACTTAGTTTTTGCACCATAGTAAGTCCCTGTATTAGCCAACCAATCATACTGTGTTGGAAAATGCAATGCTTTGGTTTGGTTTGGAAAATTTATGAGAGTGTTGTGAGCAACAGGCAGATGCAAGACAACAAAGACCTAAAACTATCAAATTACTTGCCCACCAAATTAACAAGTAGCCTTCTTGCCCTCATTCTTGAAGTATTGCAGCAACAAGGTACCATGGTGAGACAACACTCTAACAAAGTAACAGAGTAACACTACAAAGTAAGATTCACACCCCAGCACCTCAGAGGTGTCAAACCATACACCTTCATAACCAAAACACTGACAGAAGAAACTCAGTTGTGTGTGAGCAACAAATCACCCCCAAAACATAGTGTACAGAACCAACAAACACCTCCGCTGCAAAAGCACTCCCAAGGTGCACCACAAAACCATGCTTTCCCCCAAAGCTACATTTCACCCGCCACCCACAGCACTACCGCAATGTACAGCTTGCTCACACCACACACCACTCATAACACTGCACTGCCAAGCTAACCACAAATGCTGCCCCACAGCAACCCCCACCCATAGTACAACACCACACAATAAGCAAAGCTGCCCCACACACAATGGAAAAACCACAGAAATTCAGCACCAAATGCGACCAGACAGGCTGCACAACCCTGCTCCCATGGAACTGCACACCCACCCAACTTCCACCTGGACTACCAAACAAGCAAACACATTCCCCAGCCTGAATGAACATCCAACAACATACACACACACACACACACACACACACACACACACACACACACACACACACACACACACACCAGACAAAAATTAACCTAACTAGCAGACATGACACCCAAAATTTGTCACACCCACAGCAATCAGCCAACAAATCAACTGACAAGCCCTCTCGCAAAACAAAAACCAACCTTTGGACCCTCTCACCTACAAAAAACTCCACCATGACTGCCAGCGCTACTGCCCAAACCCTCCCATCAGCCCTCAGAAACACCATTTGCAACCTCCTTACCCATCTTCCCCCACCCACTGATACCTGGGCCCCAGGACAACTTTTCCAAGTCATCATCAACAACAACTGTACCTCCCCAAGATGCAACTTGGGACACACACTTACCATCTACACTTACCATCTACCCCAGACACCTTGGATTCAATGCCTTGATTACCAACATGCCATCCAATTCCAGGAACAGAGGTTACCCCAAATCACGGGCCCAAAAGGAACGGACCAAACCTTCAACCAGCAACAACCCATCCCATTCCTCAAACCAAATTCAAGTGCAAAAGAACTCCAGATAACCCTCCTCCATACCATTGCAGACAGCCCTCCTCCCCCACTATATCAAGGACAACACACCCCAAACAAACTCCAACACAACCTCCTCACAGCCTAGGAAATCACCTGCACCACCTTGATGGTCAAATGGCTTCTAGCTGCTTGCATGAAAAGCACCACTACACCAGATCTTCCCCTCCCACTAGACCTATCCATCCCAATTGTGAACAATCAAGACAACCTCTGGCCAACCCGAAGCACCAGCACAACAATTGACCTCCTCTTGGAGGCAAAAATCATTGCAACGGAGGACCAGAACCCAACCACAACCACTCCCCTCACTGACCCAAACCACCCCGCGACCCCCCTTGCCACCACAACGCTGGCACCCGCAAACAACCCAGCTCCAAACCTTTACAAAACACTCCTCATTGACATGGCTTGCTCCCCTGACACAGGCAATGGTCATTTCAACCCATTATTTGTTCCCGCACTGACACAACTTGACAAGGCACATCCAGCACCTTTCTCCCTGTCATTCCCAGGATGACCCTCAGTCAAGGAGGTAACCCCCCCAAATCCTTACTTTCACTCCATGGCACAATCCCACCTCCATGAACTCATATCCAAATGTGACCTCACCATCGCTGACCTCTGACATGACAGATGAACATCATCAATGCCACCATCATGAACTCACCCAAACCACCACTGCCCAGCAGTGACACCCCAACACAATGCACCCACCCAACTTAACCCTCCACCACCTCCTTGGTTGGGCAGGAATCCCAGTGACCCACCTTTCCACATTCCACACCCAAACAAACCACACATGGGAACAAATCCTCAAATCAGAAAAAGGCCTGGAACAAAAAGTCAACTACTACTACTTCTCCGCCCACCAACCCCCTGAAACTCCGCTTCCCCAAACTGAATGGCCGCCTCCCCCACGACTGGACCTCCAAGTACCGTAGTTTAAATCCCTTTCACATGAACATGAACAAATTGAAAATTCCAAATCCTTTGACACCAGTCTGCTGGGGTTGCGAGATGAACACATGATTTGACTACATCATTTCAACCTCCTCTACTGTATGGTAGTGATATATATTCACGAAACAGCATTTGGAAGATATGAGTGGCTGGACGCATGCGACGAACTCGCGGCAAAGATTCGAGGAAGCACTTTGCAATCCATCGGTTTCTGCCATCGAGTGTGACGTTCTCATGAGCATTGGAAAGTCGAATGCATCCGAGCCGATTCTAGCTCATCCACCGTCACGAGAGAGCGATTTGACTGTGGCTTTGATGCTCCAGCTCATATTTGCCCCAGAGGAAGGCAACGGGAAAGAAAATCTACGAAAGCACCTGAAACTTGATTTTAAAGAGATTTCAGCAGTTAAGCCAACTCTCGATCTGATATATAAGTCGAATTTCTCTAACGACTTTAAAAATGAGGTCATTCTGAACGCCGATATCCTCCCTGGTCCTGGTTTCGATAATAACGACCCATCAATTGTATCACCTTCTGCTTTTTTCGAGATGTGTTTGGATTTTATCGCACAAATGAAATCGAAGAAATCAGCATTTTTGTTTGCACTTTCGTTGGGATTCAAATGCAATTGGCAAGCGGATGAACTTTACTCGGCCTCTCGAGTTTCTCAAATGTCTGCGCTAGTTCATAAATATCGACTAACGACAACGAAGGATTCCAGAATTAGGATAATCCTGGCCCTAAATGCACGTCAACTGTTTAGGAGTCTTCCGGTATTCGACGAATTCTTGAGAGTGCATCCAGAATCCACCATTTTGGCTTGGACGGGGAGTGGAGAGCCTTCAATCCCGGAAATTCAAGTGAATGGAATTAGGGACTACTATAAATCAAAAAAGATGGAAAGCAGGATTGAATTCGATTGCTGCATAATAAGCGAATAAGAACAAGGATATGTAATATCTAGTTTAATCTAATCTAACCTTCTGAGAAAGAGCAATTCAATGTAACCCAGTAGGGCGGTAAAGTGCCGATGAGCTCTGATCATTTTTGTCGTTGAAAGAAAGCAAAATTTATCTTTTGGTTCTTCTAGTGTAAAAAAATTGTGCAACCTCGTGGTATCGTCAGCGGCTTGGCCGGCTCATCCCCCGTGGACCATTAGGAAGCGATTCACGCGTTCGATGTGTCGTGTGCTCATTGTTGCCCATACGGTAGACCGAAAAAATCGGCCAGCCACTGATTTACATTTTACAGCGAATGTGCACTTCAATCCTTTCACAAAATTCATTTCAAAACTTCCCAATTTGGAATTCACAGCTCAATTGAGAAAAAAAGCGAAACTTGATTTCGTGTCGTCCAAATTAAATAAGGTACCCCAAAATGCCCAAAGATAATTTCGTTTCAGACGCTAAGAGTTTGTGATTGTGAACAGCAAAATCATTCGCACTTCGCAAATCGTCGAGCGAACACTCCTCTTTGATTAGATGCCTGGCAATCTCAGAACATGCCGCCATGTGATTTAACCCAGAAATTGCCTCGTATGCGTTATTTGAGCTTACTTCGAAGTTCTTCACTTCGTCCGATAGGGACGGGATCAGAAAATCAGCAAACCACTTTTCATTTTGGATGGCATTGGCAAGGCATCCATCTGAAGATGTCTGTGCTAGCACATTCGACATCAGTATTGTTGCAAGACGACGGAGCTTGCCACCAGCGTCCAGCCTTCCTCGAGATTCGTAGTCTTCCAACAAAACTACATCGGTTTCAAGGGCATTTTCGATTGCATCGCGAATAAATGAGTAGTGATGGTCTTGTAATATTCCTTTGCATATTGTAGTGACTATATCAGCTCGTGTCTTGAGAGGATCCGTGAGAAAGCACAATACCTCAAAATCCTCAACATCGAAATCCTTTTCCTTTGACCTTAGGATCTGAAGAGATCTGTTCATACATCTGCGAGGTTCTTGGGAGTGATCTGGTTTGTTTACGCCTTGAATACATTTCATTTTAGCAACAGGCATCTTCATTATACAGAGAGGTACCTTCTTTCGTGCTGGGATGGTTTCTTCCTGAATTTGTCCACCATCTGCGGCGTCGAGAATTTTATTGCAAACCCGCAAGAAATACCGCGGCTCTCCGGATCTCCTTTGCAACTCAACTGTGATAGATTCTTGATTTTTAAATCCTCCCGCATAAAGTTGAATATGAAAACTCACCATATCACTAGTAATGCACTTGGCTGTGCCATATTCATTTTCGAATTTAGCCTCAATAGATAATAAACGAAGGCACTTCGAAATTCTATTTACTACTTCGGTGATCGACGCGTTGCAAATTCCTCGTCGAGTACGTTCAAGCGGATAATCTAACGGTATTTCACTTAAGGATGAGACTTTCCAGCTGCATTCTTCCCACATGTCCTTCGCTCCATTTCTGTTGCTGGTCAAACGACTCTTGGATTCAAGCGACATCCGCTTTGAATTTTTTGTGTACTCCTTCCCTTCATTTTTTGAATCTGTCGAACATTGAAGACCTGTTGTTGTCCGATCTAGCAGAGAAACAGCGCTATCGCACAGCCAATTTTATTTGAACGCGTAAGATCAGCATAGGCATACCGTAGCGTGAGACACAAGTTTGTCATGCAATAATAAGGGTTTTGTCTGCCAGAGCATTTCTAAAGGTTCGTCAAGCGCTTTGATACGCTATACCAAATCACTCCATAGATGATCTCATTCGAGTTCTACAACAATTCAAATTGTAGAGTATCTCATTTTCCAATTAAGAACAGGAAAGCAAACGTACCGAAGTGGAGGTTGCGTCTCTTCCATTGAAGCAAGGCCTTCCCTTTTCATACCAAAAAGAACATTTGCGGTCCCGCCTGTTTCCGTGACATCGTTTGTATTGGTATCGTTAAAATCCATAGGTATTTCGCTTTCCGATACTCCCACAGTGTTTCAATGTTTTCAACATGTCGTTTACTCGGGTCTTTAGCCGTCGGAGAGGAAGGCGAGAACCGAAGGAGAAAATTTATTTCGAGGATTTAGCCTCACAAATGGTTGTGTTGGTACGATACCGTACCTGGAGAAAGTAAATAGGAAGAAGATAATCCAATCCTACTTAGCGAGGTACGTAAGTACCACTAGCTACGTGCCGTGGCAAGAACAACTGAACACTTGAACGGTTTGAAAACAAATAAAGTTTAATGTAGACCAATACGTACTATCTTTTTTGAAGATTTAAAGATAAGTACTAAATTCTTCACGAACTGAGAATGGTCGTGATGATATTCTCGACAACGATTCTGTAAGTGTAATAATTATTAAAACCGAAAGGCAATATTCGTGATATACTTAATACTCCCATGTATTTAGTTTCACTTTGCTGTGTTTTCTGATGGCCGAAGAACTTCCAAGAAAAATTCTTTCCTTTCGACTCCGGAAAACATGGAAAAATACCTGCTCGTGGCTTACTTCGTACTTATGATGGAGTCACGTTGGTTGGTTGATTCCCGTATGAATAGGCCTCAATAGGCCTTAACTTTTTCACAACTCCGCCCCGACCCCGATTTAGATTTTTTTGATTCTTCTTAGTTTTTCGAGAGTCAGAGCGACTACTACGCGTTTCGTAACAATTGAAACTGGTCTCGAAAAAGAGCAAAAAGTAATAATTTCAAGTTCCAAACTTCAATTTGAAGTTATGAACTTTTGCTTGTACATGTACCAGGAGGTTCTACTGAGCTAGTTTTTTTAAATGACTGCTGAATGGCCGAATAGATTCCGGGCCCCCTCAAAACAAAACAAAAATGGTTCAGGGCGATTGAGGTGATTCAATCATGAATCCGGCCTTTCAATCATGAATGCCATCCAAAAACAAGCACAGTAGAACCTGGTAGACTTTCTACCAGCAGGACATTTTGAAGTTCATAACTTCAAATTGAAGTTTAGAACTTGAAATTATTACTTTTTGCTCTGTTTCGAGACCAGTTTCAATTGTTACAAAACACGTAGTAGATAGATCCCTACTACGAGTTTCATAACAATTGCACATCGTCTTGCGCAGCGCGCAAGTGCTCTCGCCCAGAGAGCAGCAAAAAGTAATAATTTGAAGTTCTAAACTTCAATTTGAAGTTAAGAACTTCATGTAGAAAGTCTACTATGTTCTACTGGGGGGCTAGACATTCATGATTGATTCATGATTGAATCACCTCAAACCATTTTAAATTGCCCTGACCCATTTTTTTTGCTTTGAGGGGAATCGTGATTTGGCCATTCAGTCATTTAAAAAAATTAGCTCAGTAGAACCTGGTACATGATGTACGAGCAAAAGTTCATAACTTCAAATTGAAGTTTAGAACTTCAAATTATTACTTTTTGCTCTCTGGGCGAGACGATGTGCAATTGTTACGAAACTCTTAGTACTAGTAAGCAGTTTCCAGCCACAATTTTTCTACTTGAGAGCGAACACAAACACACACAAAATTGTTTAGGTTGTAGTAAAAAAAATGTTTCAAATTATTTAATTTATTGCTCGTCCCAAAAATTTCCATTAGCAGTCCTTACTACTGCAGAGGTAAATTCATTGGTTACTACTTGAGAATTACTATTTGTGCTTACTACTGTAAAACCTCTATTACCATTTACTAACCACTAGTGGGGATGTTATAGCAGTGAGCAATGCGAACTGCTGTGTTAGGGGCTTTTGTTGCTGGTGCTGCTGCTCCCTTCTCCTCACAGCACAAACAACAACAACATCACACAAACTGATATAATGGTTTCTCAAGTTTCCTGCGTGGATGAAAGCAAAATCCTGTGCATGTTTTTCAATGCTCCAATATCAATCTCACAGCCCTTTTCCCTGGAACATGTTCTCACACCCCCCTTTTCTGGGGTTTGTACTGTTTTCTATTGTTGCTGTTTTTTTCATTGCAACATCCAGAATAACATTGTTCCAATATGTTTCTTATAATTTCTCGTCCCACACTTCCGTGACATCAAACTTCAGTTCCTCTTCTTGTAGTTTTCTTTTCTTTTCTTTTTTCTCTTTCCTCTCTGTCTTCACCTATGGTTTCTCTGTAGTCTGCCATTAATGCCATCTCAATTGTTCTTGTACTTTCTTCTGCTCTTCTTTTTGTTATCTCTTTCACAAGCTTTATGAACAACATTCGTCCCTGTAGGCTCCAGCCTTCCTTGCTTCCAATCCTACTGTCTGTGAATCATTTTTGCATTTTCTTTCTGTTTCCTGAATTATTCCAAGACTCATACTAGTAGTTGTTGAACAAGAACAAAAGTACAAAAGGCTTGTCTGCCATGCTGAATATTTTGCTCACTGTGTTCTTGTGTCTTTTTCTCTTGAAGTCGTTTTGTTTTGGTGATACTGCGCCCAATATCCGTCTCAAGAAGTACTCAAAAATCTGGTGTGTTCTTTCTTCTGTACTATGGGTTGAACACGAATGACAAACTGTCTTCGCATTCTGTTATGAAACATTTGCCCAAAAAGTAGGTGGAACAACACCTTTTTTTGTCGTCTAAACGTATCAAAGAGGGAAAGAAATTGTTAGACCAAATCATTGTGCTAATGTGTACTAAACATGCACTGCGTTGCTTCTTACCCTTGTAATTTTTTGAACCAGTATCTGTGCATTATGTCTGCACAAAGTTACTGTCATATTGATCTTTCCCACCCTACAACTGGCAGACGTATCTGGGCCCTCTGGTGGGTTCCCCCCCCTGGTACTTTCCTTTACCTTTTTTCACTATGTTTTCCATGATGTTATCCTTTACTGGAACCTTTGTGTGCTTGACGTTTCTTACCTAGTTTGTCAGTGTTTGTTTTAACACAGTCTCTACATGGCCCAATCTTATGTCTCTTGCAATCACCATTCTCTCCTCCTGTTCTGCATTATGTCCAACTAAATGTGATGAAGACATGTTTGTTGATATGCTGTAGATGAAATTAGAAATGATTTTCTGGAATACCCATGTTGAAATAGTGTTTTGGTTGTAATAACCATTTTATTTTGGTAGTCACTACTTCTGGCTATTCATTGACATATCATACCCACTCACACTTCATGTATCTGATCCTTGGTTTACCTAATTAACTCCTCACTGGAAAATGACAATGTATTTAACCCAATGCTTCCCTAGTAGTATTAGTCAAAGTCTTCTAGGTCAAATTAATGTGAAATCAATTCTGTCCTATGATTTTTTTGTTCAATGTTGGTAACGGTGATGTCATGTGTGAAATGGGCGCACACTTTTACCCACCACTCCTTTACCTTGCTATTGCACTAACTTTTTCTGCGTGTCAATACTTTTTTTGGCACGTCCTCCCTCCTCTTTCCTGTGGGTTTCAGTAGGGTTTCAACTACACGTCAAATTTAGTACACATGTAATTCTACTTTCTTCAAATTAAATACGTGTTTACAACATAGGGTGAGCTCATTCTTCACTATTTAATTGTGATTTGGTCCAACTGTTGGATGGTTGCACTTCAAATATTCAATGTAGGAACATACCTTTCCCACTTTTCAAACTTTTTCTAGTGATCAATAGTTCCTTTCACCAATAAAGAATTTTCGTGTCATATTAGAATCCATTACACCACTCCCTTTTTGATTTCACATCCTTCAGTTTTCAAATTTTGAACCCATATATTTGAATCCTTTCTTGGAAACCAACTAAAAAATGCTCAATAGATCAAACAAGAACAGCGTTCCCAGTTATATCTGTTCCATGGTTTTTGTTGGTTTGTCAAATTTCAAACCCTTTTATATTCAAATCCTTTCTCAAAAAACAACTCAAAAATGCACAATAGACCAAATGAGAATGGCATTACCAGATATGACCGTTTCATTGTTTTTGTTGATTCATCCTCTTACTTTTTCAAGTATTTGCAATCTTGGACAATGTTCCAAATATACAGGAGTTACAAAATTGCTGCTTCTTGCTCACTGAGTCCCCACACTTCCTGTTTTTCTATGTGTCTTCTGTTCCTTGTTGCTTCTTTGGTATCATTTTACAAATATTGTTCCATTTACCTGGACTAAATTTGTCTTCACTACACATCAGATCCTGCATATTTCACAAGTAATATCACTAAGTTCAGTAAACAAACACCAATCATGTCAACCACTGATTGCAAAAGAAATGCTCTTTCTGCTGCCAACCAATACCAGAAGAAGAAATCTGCTGACAAATTGAAAGATTCTATCACAAAGGGGATTGGCAATTATGGTGAAGACTACTACTCTGACCAACTTTGCAACACAGTTGCTTCAGAAGTCAAGACGCCTTTCATGGATCTATTAAAAAGCCGTGTTATTATGGTGTCCCAAATTGTGATTGCCTGTCCTCCTTCAGAAGTTTTGGCAGCTGGCAAAGTCGGTGCTTGTGACATTCCCCTCACTATACACCCATTGTTGAACATTTTTCTAATGAATGATCCGGACTCTAGATCCATCATCAGATATGCTCAGTACATTGTCGTCCCAAAAACCCAGTTTTCCAAACGTCTTAGAAGGTGCAAGTTTCGCAAAAGATGGGACGCGTTTAAAGAAAAATTGGACAAAGAACATGTTTCTATTAAAGCCACCTCCTCTGACATGTTGAACAAGTCGGAAGAGACTGGTAGTCTTCTTGCATCTTGGCAAACCATGTTGAAGTACAGCATGAATGCTGCCCAGAACCTTTTTGAATGGTACTTTGGTGACGTCAAACTTCCTCTAACACAGGATAACAAAGGAAGCTTCTCTTACAACCCCACTGACAGGACTTACACACCAACATGTGACAATTATGTTGCCAGGAAACCTTTTCCAGCTTGTTGATTTCTCTGTGCTCCAAATTTGCAAGAGAAAAAAAATGCCATGAAATCAACCTCCAGGATAGTAGGGACCTGCCTGTCTCCCCCTCCAGCAGACAGAGCTAAAAGTAACACTTCCCATCCACACATCATGCACTGGAATAACTTTGATATAATAAGGAGAGGAAGACCCAGAAGTCTTTGATGAATTGACTAAGTGGTTTAAAAGAAACAGTGGATCTAAGCAGTAGCTAAAAATTGTTGTTAAAATAGCAGAGAAAGGAGCTCCATAATTTTCGAATTGAATTTTTTCAAACGCACAAAATTACACTTTAGTTCTGAAAATTATCACCTAGATGTCCTACTGATTCCTACATACATACATACCTGATCAGCTCCTTCTGGCTTCTGAACACCATGGTGACACCCCCTTCTGAAGGGGAAAATCCACCTCCCTGGCCTCCATTCAAGCCACCAAGCAATGTAACCAAGACTATTCCAAGTATATCAATATCCCCCAGCTGGTTGCAGTTTGCCACACCTGGATCCATCACCTGTTCCTCTGTTCCCCTGTTCCTCCAGAAGCACCGTATGGTATCTTCCGGTGTTGAAGTTGTTTCTGGCATCCGTGCCAGATGGCAACAACAACCCCAGCCCCAGTATTCAACCAAGACCTAGTGAAGAACAAAGCCTGGAGTATGTGCTACATCATACTCACTTTCAAAGAAGATTCCCCAACATCTCCATGCAGTTCCAGTATTTTACAGACCGCATGCCGGAGCGCACCAACAACAGCCCCAGCCCCAGTATTCAATCCTTTTGAGGAATCAAGCCTGGAGTATATGCTACACACATACTCTAAAGAAGATTCCCCAGCATCTCCTCCATGCAGTTCCAGTATTTTACGGACCGGAAGAGTTTTCAGGTCTGGTTTTTCTTGTTGTTTCCAACATTCATGCCGGCGAGCAACAACAACAACCTCCAGTACAACCAGCAAAAGACCATCTTTCCCTCCATTGTAAACACAACCAGTCTGCTGGATCTTGTTATTATATTAAATTTGAGGGGATACAGCAGTGGATTTATCAATCAATTGCTGGTTTAGAAGAAACAGCAGATTTCAGTGAAAAATGCTGATGAACAACAACAACAGTTGCTTGTTGCTTGTTAAACACCACCACTACCAGCAGTTGGACAAGGAAGGAAGGAGGAAGGAAGGAGGAAGGAAGGAAGAAGCAGTAATTGCAACAACAACAACAGTAACAGAAGTTCCTGTTGGCACCATGGCAAATGGACACACTTTGGCAGTATACAAGTGCACAGCAGAAACAGCAGCTAGAGCTCTGATAGTTGCCAAGCTGGGGAACCAGGAGTATTCTATCAGGCAAGCAATGATGTTTGCTAATTTCACTAAAAAGAAATGTGACAAGAAAGACCTAAAGAAGAAGAGAGTTACAAGATGCAGGAACAAGACAGAGCTGCAAGTATCTGCTATTAAAGTTCCCCCCTAACACACATTGACTGTAACTCACCTTCAGACTTGGTAGGCCTTACAGGAAGTGCTGGCCCCAGCAGCAGTGACAATACTAGCAAAGAAGATAATGGCAAGGATGAAGCACTGTCAACTGAGACAACTGCTGATGGTTACTAAGTTGCCAATGGTCCCCCAAAGAAGAAGAATTAGAAGAAGCAGGCATAGTATTTGCATATGTGAAAGGCTGACAAGCACAACAAAAACAAACTCAAAGATATGGTATATGATCTTTCAGTAGTAAAGGAAATCAAGCATGAGCAGGCCCTTGAATATGTGTCGAATATATGCCATGGTTGCCAAAGTCAACAAGCTTTACAATATTGAACTGATGACAGAAACTCTTTGACAACATTTGAATTCAGGCCTCAAGAACATTCCCCTCCTTTGGAATTCTGGTTCACTTTACCAGCAGTGGTGGAGACAGCGCTAGTAGATGTGATTACTTTGTTGTATGTTGCCCTTGGTTGTTCAGAGACAGAAGAACAGCCAAATTAGAAGGCATTGTTGACTGGGATGATAGCATTGTGTCTTCATTGTGGCACAACTGTACTTAAAAAATACAAAAGACTTTCCACTTGTCTCTCTATTTTGTTTGCACCTGACATTGCAATTGTAACTGGATGCTACTCTCCCATTCATATTATTCAATGCAGAGTGGCAAAAAAGGAGTCAAATAGTGGAACATTCATTTCGGTGGCATAGAGGATGCCAAATTTTCTGAGTCAGCAGCTGTTCAGATGTCCTAAAATTGCAATCAACAGCAATGTCACAAGTAGAAGCAAAAGCAGGATTGTTGGAGTAAACTTCTTTGGTCTACGTCGAAGATGAAATAGACTGCTTTGAATATGAAAACGCAAGGATTGTACTATTTGCATATGGTAGCGCATGAAATAGTTGCATGACCAGAAGCGTTCTGGTGCTCTGCAGTCATGCTACTTTGGCCACTATTTATTCTAAATTCTCTATCTTACTTCGTATCAATTTGTTGATCGCCATAATTTTAGATATTTGTCATGATGTCATGCCATATCATACTTTACACGAGACCGTGAGGATTTCAATTTTATTCACTCCTAATATTTGTTTCGTTTTGGTAGTGAGGATATGATTGTGGTTATTTTGACGACGGCAAAGAAGACTCTTTTCCAACGATTTCTTCTGCTGTTACGGTTGCAGTACCGGCTATTATCGCTTGCCGTTGAATAGGATTCTCTTCTAACCATCGCTTGTAGCTTTCGGTTCGTTTCACCGTCACCAATATTCGTGCTCGCCTCAATTCGCGGGTGGTACCACTCCCAGACGATGTGGCGCTTCGAGTGACAGCAGCTGCAGGCGAAGATTGTTGCTGTTGCTGCATCCCGCGCCCGGTTTCGTCCACACTGCTTTCCGCGGTATCTGTGGAGTGGTCGGTTGCGGGCTTGGATGGCGTGGACAGAGCGGATGGATTCTCTTTCGTCCCGGTAGCATTGCTCGGGTCGTTCGTTGCGGGAACCGCTTGTGATCGGGAAGACTGCATTGTGTTTCTAGAAGTTTGGATTGATGGCACCCCTTCTTTTTTGATAGCTTCAGAAGTTGGTTCCTCACTTTTCTGCTGTCTTCTTCGCTTGGGTTCGACGTTTACGTAAGAGGTATTTATGCTGTTGAATCGGAAATGGAAGGAATAAGATATTGAGTGCCGTGATCGTTTCCACTACACAAATACAAACAGAAAGCCCTAGGACGTAACATCAACAGCATCATTATTGTTCCTCGTTCCATACACAAACACGACCTACCTAACTATCGTTGCGAGTTTCGATCGTTCCAGTAGATGAGCGGCATCTACCGCGGAAACTATGGCACCCTCGAGTGCCGAAAGGTCGCACATTTCGTTGGTCATGAGAAACTTTCGGGCCAGTTGGAAGAAAGCAGTAGGATTCTTGTTGGCACTCACGGCAATGATCTGTCGCGTTCCATCTCCGGGGACCACGTTCTGGTGACTTGTGTCGTCGGGAACCGGCTTGCCCAAAGCATCTGGTGCCCCGGTGTCCGCGCTTCCCTCGCCGATCGTCCCGGGCTGCTCGCCTACATTCTTTGTTTTGTCCCCATCGGTGCCATGTTGTTGTTGCCGTGATCTTAGTGGTTCGCCGGTTTGTGTTTCGGTATCGGCGCCTTTGTTTGGTTTGTTCGTGGATGTGTCTGCCAATCTTTCTTCGCTTTCAATCGTGTTTCTTGACAATCGTCTTTTTGTTTGCCCTGCTTCTGTGGACATTCTTTGCAGATGCAAGTTTGCCTTGCAGTGCCAATCAAGTTGTCCTTCCAGCCGTAACACGCTGCTTTTAGTTCGGCCCTCTCTTGCTCAGCAACACAAGTACTGTTTGTATACGGTATCTTTCTACCACCTTCTTTTCCAACAAGTCGAGAAGAAGATTGCTTTCTGTTCTTTCCCACTACACTGCCACTGGTCCCTTGATCTTCCGTCAGCCCACCAATCGTATCGTTTGACGATTGGTTGTTTTCCTTTTCCTTTAAATTCGTATTTCTCTCGAGTTACGTAATCGGTCCGTCTTCAACATATGCATATTGATGTCAATGAGAAATAAATGACTATTCGTTCCTTACTGCACGTGTTGCAATTGTATGGTGTCTCTTGCGCCCTGCACTCGATTGATCAGCACGGGCAGGTTCCTTCTCGGTGATTTCTTCCTTTCGCACTTCCTTTGCTGTCCTCTCTATAGCTAGAAAGTGATGACTACGGCTTAACGATTCAGTTCTGCAAGGAGAGTTTCGCGAACGAGTCAATGAATAGTACTAAATGAATTAGTAGCTATGGGTATTCCTTTTGTCCACAACAAGATCCTGCTTGGCCCACCGGGTGTTTGAATACAAAACAGACTAGAAAACGCTGCAATCTACGACAGATTCGAGTATTTACTGCATGTATTTCAATGACGCGGGAAAGTTGTAAGCGGCAGTCAGAGGGAAAACCTGAGAATTGGAAAAAGAATGTTTTTTGTTTCATGATACCTTTTTTACTCGTACACTAGGTTACAGTTCCGGGATCAGAAAGATTTACCTCAACTTAACTGGATCTTAGTCATACGAGTCGAAAAATGAATTTCGGGAAAACGAAAAACATCTACTGTACTGTACAAGTAAGAGTACGTACCGTACGTACGGTACAGTAGGCTATTTCCAAATGCGTTACAGTACCGTAAGTTACGTACGATTTTTCGTAGGTATGATGAAATCTGTTAGCAAACAATGTCAAATTGTATTCTGTATTCATATCTACTTGTAGTACATATTAAACATACGATACTCTGATTTTTGATTCGTCGATTTTGGATTTTGGATTTTGAACCTAGTGATCTATTTTCCAGAAATTTCCAGAAAAAACTCCCCGTTACGATGACACTCGTACTCGTACGTACTAAATGGTACGTACTGACGGTATGGTCCCGGAACGGTTGGCCAGAGCCCTCCCTCTCGATTGTTGACACCGTTGTCGGCTTGGTGTCTCGGATACGAACATAACTGCGCTTCCCGAACAGCTTGCGCATCCCGGGCGGAACAAGACCCACCGCGTCCACCAACCACAACGCGAGATGGCGGAAGGGGAAGAGGCCCCCGTCAGAAACGCAAACGAGATCCACGGGAAGGGGGTTCCCGAAACCGAACGAGTTCCCCCCGCGGAAAGGAGGTCCTGCCTCGCCCTGGTGGAGGCCGTCGCCACCACCGGCGGAGGCGGCGGGCTCCCCGGGGGCCGCCGGAAGGTCCGGCTCGAGCTGCCCCCCCGTTTGCCGCCCGGACAGCGGGGGGAGGACGACGACCGCGATTGGCTGGAAGGGGTGGACCGGACCCTCGCGGGGGCCCTGGGGATCACCGGGTGCGGGACGATCGAGCTGTACGACCCGGGGACGCAAGCCTTCCGTAGGCTGGACCGCATCGACGAGATTCCTTCTTCCTGCTGCCGCCTCCGCGTCGCGGAGACCGTACCGGAAGGACCGATTTCCAGCACCGGGGATGGGGGATTCCTGGCCCTGCCCTGGCGCGAGTTCTCCGGTGACATCGACCAGGACGGCCGGTTCGTTCTGGGAGACCATTCGATCGTGGTCCAAGAGGAGTCCAATTCCGGCCTGGGGACCGGGACCAACCTCTGGGACGGGGCCGTCGCCCTGGCAAGCTTCCTCGGGCACCACCAAGGGACGGCTCGGAGCAACAAGGACAAGGACAACGACCGAGACCCCTCCCTCTCGGTAGAAGGCAAGCGGGTCCTGGAGCTCGGCGCGGGGACCGGCCTGGTGGGGATTGCCGCCCATCTGGCACTCGGGGCGAGCCGCGTGCTGGTGACGGACCTGGAGTATTCCATGGCCAACCTGGAGGCCAACCTCTCCGCGAACCGGTGCCACCGCACCAGCGCAGAACGCAGGGATTCCACGATCGACGCCCGGGTCCTGGATTGGTGCGACCCTTCGTCGTGCGAAACGGCCCTGTCCATCTGGAACGAGTCCGGAGGGGCGCACTCGCACTCGCCTCCGCCCCCGGACGTGGTGCTCGCCGCCGACGTGGTGTGGGTCGACTTTCTGGTCCCCCCGCTGGTGGAAACCCTCCGGCGCGTCTGCACTTGGGGGGGCACGGGGTCCGACACTGACCCCCCGCTCGAGTGCTGGCCACCGGTGGTGCTCCTGTCCTACCAGCGTCGGAGCCAGGTGGTCGAAGACCTCCTGTTCCAGAGCCTCCGGGAAGCCTCCTTTCGGACAGAGGACGTTACCATCCCGGAACTAGCCTCCTCCAAGATCCGTATCTATCGCATCACCTACCAGCACCAGGGCGTGCTGTAGTGCGTGCCATGCCATGCCATGCCATACCGTGGCATGCCACGCAACGCGAGCTCCGCGGTGCGACGTCGTTTGAGAGATCTAGCGATGTTTTTTCTTCTTTTTGAGCAATGCGAACTCACGCCATAGGAATAAAGCAACAATACCTAATAGAAAAATTGATACATAAATGTCTTTAGAAGGATAAAATCGAATTCAGAGCAAAGGATGGGTTCCTGCCAGTGCCGACAAAGATGCACCAGAATCCCTTGCCTCTACAAAGCCGGGCCGCGGTGGAAAGGGACTCCGGAACGACAGCACCGGACGCCGACCGCGGCGAAACGGGGGGGGAAACACCGAAAACCGGTCGCGTGCGGCCGGCGGCTACCAGGATTCGATCGTCCACCACCAGGCCGCAACCGCGGCGGCCGCCAGCGCCGTCCCCGGGCCCGCTAGGTTCCAAGCGCCCGGCGCGCCACTCACGGCGTTTGCGGTCCCGTCCTTCGCGAGCTGGAGGTTGATCCGTGCCTCTCCGATCCCGGACGGCGACGGCCACGGCGACGGATCCAACGATGGCTCCAACGATGGCCCCAGCGACGGCCCCAGCGATGGTGCCATGGATCCGATCTCGCAGGTTTGGCCAAAGGGCAGGTCCTCCGGTTTGGTCTCGCATTGTGCCATGGCGAGGCTCCGGCAGCTCCAGGTCCCGTCCGCACCGCACTCGCAGGTGGTAATGGGGATGCACGCAAGGGTTTCCCAGGAGCAACCCACGTAGATGTGTCCGTAGTCACAGACCATGTCGGTGTCCATCGTGGCGCAGGCGGGGCGCAGGTAATCGGGGTTGGTCGGGCACTCGTCTAGCAAGAGGCGGCCTCCCCCCCTTGCTCCGGATCGAAGGGTCATGGTGCTCGTGTGGCGTGGCTGTTGTTTGTCCCTATTGCTCCTGTCTTTGTGCTTATTGATTTCCAATTTTTCTTTATTTCGTGTCTTTCGAATGGGAACAAAATGGAACAAAATTCAAGTTTTTTTGTAAATGGAATATTCGTACTCTCACAACGATTTCCACTCTCAAGACGTGTACAGTATCATACACGACTGAGCCATCAGTACTTGTACTGTAATTCCGTACTTTTGAAGTCTATCATCTATTTTCTGTTTTTAATTACTTTTGTTTTATGCCGAAACTTATTTCGATACGATTCATTCATTAATACCATGCGTTACAGTAATCATAAGAATAATTCTTACTACGAGGTAGTTTTTGAAAAGCTTTCCCGCATGATCCACCTTCGAATAGTGGGTTTCGTACACTCATCGGCGACTAGGAGAAGTTAAGATTTAGTCTGCCAACTTTCCACGTATTCCCCTCCCACCACTCAATTGTAGTGGAATTGACGGATCTGTGCGTGATTTCAGAGAATAGTTCCCATTATCGGATTGGGATTTGACACAGGCTTCCACGAATTGGAAGAAAATATTCTCAAAATCGGATACAGTAATTATTTCTTATTTTTGATGTTGAAACAAAAATGTACGTACTAGAAGTAGATACATCTTCAAATTATTCTGTCTACGACTGGTCTTTTGCACAACTTTCCATTGCATTCAAGTGAAAACCCAATAGGAACATATTCGTTCACTATTTTTTTCAATAATGAAACACTTCATCGATGATACCATTGTTCCACGAATGTTTCGCAAATAGGATTGTCTTAGTATCAATTGCTTTGTGACTGGATTGAATTTCTCTTATTTTGCTTTACATCATTTTTATTTATTTGTGAACCCAGTCGACCTTGATGATCTTTCGTCCTTTGAGGAATTTTTCGATGCTCATGGCGGCGACGCATCCATCAGAGGCTGCCACCACTACCTGCTTGTATGGTGTGTTCCGTATGTCCCCAATGGCGAAAATCCCCTTGTGCGAAGTCGATTCCATCGTATCCTCCGTGACAACCCCCCCGGCTTCGTCCAGAGCGACCCCGGAACCACTCAAAAAATCCGTGATGGGCTTGGAGCCACCACCTGCACCATAGATAAAGGCGCCCTCGACGGGGATGGTAAATTCCTCTCCCGATCCGATCAATTGGACGTTGACTCCTGTCACGCCTGAGACATCTCCCTCGACCTCCCGGAGGCGAGCTTTGTTGTGGTGTTTGACGTTGGGTTTACTAAGAAGCTCCCTAAGAATGGCCTCGTCGAACATGGAATTCATCTCAACGTTCTGAAAACCGCCCGCGTCGAGTCGGTCCAGATACCCTACTACGTCGGTGGGTGTAATCCAGTGGACCGTCGAAGCAAATTTTGTGAGAAACATGGCCTCTTCCATTGCTTCTCCCGTGGATCCAAATACGGCTACCTCGCTGCCGCGGTAGAAGGCACCGTCACAAGTGGCACAGTAGCTTACTCCCTGTCCCAGGTATTTTTCCTCTCCCGGAAGGTACGGCATGGATCGTCCCATGGCACCTGTGGCAAGCACCAGGGATCGGGCTTTGACAGTGTAATCGGGGGTATAAACAATCTTATTGTAGGGATTGCTCTTCGAACCATTTTCGTCGTCGCCTCCGTCGTCCTGGATCTCGATCATAAAAACCTGAGCCCGATCGCAGATCCGTGTCCCGTACTCAACGGCTTGCTTTTTCATCTGGCGGAGAAGTTCGATTCCAGACATGGAACGATCGACTCCCGGATAGTTAGCGATATGGGATGTGATCGCCAGTGCACCGACGGCCTCGTTCTTATCGAGAATGACCGTGCTGAGATCGGCACGACTGGTATAGAGTGCGCAGGTACATCCCGCAGGGCCACCTCCAATGATTGCGACGTCACATTCGATGGTTTCCATCTCGGGTATTCCCTCCGGCGGCCCCTGGAGCCAGCTCATGTCGTCGTCGTCGTCATCTTCGGACATGCGCAGAAGGAGATTGTTGCTGCGCACACGGGAGGTGCTGACACTGCGTGTACCAACACTCGCAGTTTGCCGTATTATAGTGCTTCGTGTATTGGTGGAAGGAAGCACAAAGGAAGACACAATTGTACAATCCAGGCTAGCAAATCCCAAGACAAACAAGATCAGCACACTGCTGCTGCTGCTCTGGATACCGGTCATGATTACCCTTACTGATTGTATTTAAAAATTGGAAGATATCGATCGTAGTTGGATGGCGTTTGTTGCAGTATCGTGCTGCTTTTATGTCTGACAGGTGGCGAGTTCTTATGGCGGAATGATTGACGTAAGTTGCGATCGTTTCCTGCCGATGAAAACGTTTGGAAAGTCAGTATTTGAATCAATCTTTGTGTTCAATAGTTTCGCGAGGTTGGTCGGAAGTGGAGCTCAATCGAATCGACGCGCCCTATCTTCTCTCCCAAGTTTCAAATGAATGCGTTATCTCCTTTTTCGTGAGCTATCGGAAAAAGTCTATGCTCGTCTTGCAAATTAAATACTGTACAGTGCTTGAACGGCACCGTTTCTATGACCACACTGATCCTACCTTGCGTTGGGGCTTGGAAGGACGGAAGCTTGTGTTACAACGGCATGAAGGATTTTCACCTGCAGGCACCGTACGGCACTAGCTGGTGTCCTCCGATATTTCGTACTTCGTAGTACCATACGGTACGAGTTCAGAAGAAACTGCATTCGTCATTCGGACTGTCAGCGAATCATGCCACAATCTTTTTTTCAAACCCTAACGGTTCGGAGTGTCAAAGAGGAGGAAAAACAGGTGTCGTGTATGACACCTGCGTGCGTAGATACATTTAAAGGTACGTATGAACTTTACACTCTGTCAGTACTGCAAACTGCAATGCACAAAAACTTGCTGTAATACAGTACTACGAGGTAATTTTACTTTCCTGAGTAATGTACTTACGCTACGGTACGGTACCATACCTCGTATTGCACTTGCCGTTCTCACTACAGTAGTACCGTACATTTTGGTGCGATTGAGTTCATGAGCTTTCAAGGAGCGAGTCGAACGAATAAAATATCGAATGAATCATCATGTGAGCCTAAATCAAACAGTATCAAAATCGAGTCAATCGATTAGTCGAATGAATCGCGTAGGAGGTTGATTGTTCTTTACTCCTCAATTGTTGTTTTTGAACCAATGAGTTTCGGTATCAAGCCAAAGCTGACGTCACACAGCGCCAACTTTTGGGTACAGTACCAAGTACGTACTACCCAACGAAATCTCCGGAAATTACGAACTGGTTCAAGCTCTTGAAATGGACATGTCTTGCGCTTAACTTCCTAATGAAAAACCATTTCTCATCAATATGTACTTTGTTGGACATTGCATCAAAGACAACATTTTCATCAATATGAAACAGACCAAATTGAATCCTTTCCATTTTGTTCGCTTCTTCCACCAGCCAACAACATTGCAACTCCTCTACTACTAGTAGTACGTCACATAAACCGTTTTCATGGTGTCGCGCTAATCGCGCAGTGAAGGAGCCTCTAATTTCGTAGTTACCCCCGGTTATATCTTGCCCGCGTTGTTTATTTATTTCTGTATCACCGTGCTACCTTGTAC